TTATTCTTGCCACATTTTCTGCTTTCTGGTTCAGTGGTCTGAGGAGACCAAAGGGGCCAGGAAGTAATTTCATCTCTCAACCTGACGGATCCATTGCTGTGTCCCTTGGCAGGAGCATAAGGCTTCCAAACTAGCAGAGCTCAAAATTGAGATGGCACCATACAATGGTCATTAATTCAAGGTGCACACTGCATTCTATAACAAAGTTCAAAGCATTTTTGAGTGTTGCCTGCAAATCGGTGCCATGGTGTTTAGGAAGCCATCTAGTTTATCCAAAGTAAAGTTGCTTTGGATACAGTATTTAGCATAAGGCAGTTTGTTTCCAAGTTTTGCTTGTTCTTTGCCATGACATTAGTTCCTTGAATAGAAGCAAGGGCAGTCTTGTGTGGATAGGCAGGCTGTGAATCCATGTTAGTGAAGCTGGAAGAAGCATTGCAGGCAAGAAAACCACACTCATTCACCTGTAGAATCCGTGTTTGATGAGTGAGCATGAACACCTCTCTGCCTTCGTCATGATGGAAGACTTGGGGGTAGTCACTGTGATCACATGGCTGACTGTTCCAACGGAGAAATTGGACTACAGAACTCGTAATTGGTCTCTACCATTTGCCTAGTAGGCAGTGAGCTACAGGTTTATTCAGGTCAGCCTTGGGGCAGGAAAGTCTGTGCTGTTGGCTCACACGTAACCTCTGTTTGCCATCATGTCCACTTTAGTTAAAGGAATACTGAGCAAGCACTGGGAAGAGTAGTTAATACCCATAGAAAATATAATTTTTCCCAGCTGGTAACTGGGAACCTCTTGTGTAGAAGTGTACATGGTAGGTACTCTCTTGGGATACAAATACCTTCCCAGTTAGCACCCATTCTGGGAGGTCCATCCACATTCTTGTCACCCACCTTCCAATGCTATCCCTCCTGAACGCTGATGGGCCAGTCATTCTCACGTTTCCAGATCACAGCACACATACTTCTTGCCATCTCTCAACCTAGCACATCACTTGAAGGTCCACCTCATGAGAAAAATTTCCTTTAGGGTTGCCTCTGTGTAGGACTGTCATGTGTGTCACACAGCTGTCCACTTTAGGGTGGCACTGGTACCGCATACAGCACAATCATAAACTAGGTTTGATAGTTTTCTTTCCTAATTGGCTCTGTATAAGGAAATTCCCAGAAGGGACTGCAGATATGACTTGAAGGAGAGGAAGCAATGCAAGGTTTTGAAGAAGATGGAGCCAGTTGCTTTTTAAGTTATTAATTCATTCTGCATGTGTCTGCACATGGTTTATTCTGTACCATTTCCACTTGGTTATAAGTCTCTGATGTATGCAGACATCCTAATAACTACGTGGACAATGCACATATCACTACATGATGGGAAACTCGGGCCATGTGCTTTCCTGAGGTTGGGGTATTGCTCTGGCTTACCAGTCTGAGTGGGCAGAGGATATTCTATGAGCTTCCATTTAGCCCTTCTACTATAAGGGTTTTCCCCCTGGTCAGAGAGAAAATACAGGGATTCTTTACAGCTATTCTGAATTCACATCATCTGCAATGTGAGAAAGCAACTACTAGGAACGCACAGGTCAACTGTTCCCACCCTGAGCCACATACTGGCTAAGACTTGGTCTATCATCCGTGCCATATGCACCCACGTTGGCATGTGCTCACAGTCACACTTCACATCTCCAGCACTCAAAGTCAATTTGCAAACAGCGATCTGGCTCTTTCCTTTTTCACAGTGCACTGTCCCTCTTAGAGATGGGTTTGTGTTCCACTGGGAAAGCTTGGGGAGGGAATCAAGGCATATATACACCTGCCTGTAGACTTCTTTGAGGCGAGCTGAACTGGGATTGCCTACTGGCACAGGTGAGGTTCTCTGGGGAGCCACCTCCTAGAGTGCTACTTACATTTGCAAGGGAGCCACCCTGTGCGGTACTTGTAAAACTCACTGGATGTCCAGTATGCCACTGGAATTAGGAAACAGAACTGCTTTCTCCTGCAGTGTCTCCCCAGTACCATTCTCCCGAGACAGCTCATCAAAGCTCATGATATATCTCAGCTGAAAACAATGAAAAAGGGATAGTTCTAGCATCACAAAGTTGGATAAAAAAAGAATGGCAGGGGCTAAAGGGAAACAAATTGATAAGACTATGTATGTATTGGACTCATTTTAAAAACTGTGCACCTACTACGTGCCAGGCATTGCATTCGAGATGCAGGATTAAGGAGACTCAGTGTCCATCCTGGAGGGTCGCAAACTATATGGGGGTGAGGGAGCATCTGGGAGAAGGTGTGAGAAAGGGGTGATGCGTGAACAGAAAGCGCTGAAAGACTGAGGCAGCTCAGCATTCTGTGGAAACGGCTTTTCCCCACAGAAGTAGAGTATGGCCCATTTCTTCCAGGAAGTGGAGGAGTCTTCTAGCCAGATAACTGGGACAAGGGGAGGGAGGCTGTTATAAACAGGGAATCCTCCAGATTAAAAGGCAGGGAGCTGTGACAGCAGCAGGTATTTGGGGCTCCATGAGGCATTCCATACAAATGCTCCAAGAGGAAAGATTAGAGAGAAGGCTGGGGCTGCTCTCTCTCTCTCTCTCTCTCTCTCTCTCTTTTTAAGGCTGTCATGCAAGAGACTTGAATACATCCCACAAAGTCACAGAGCATAGGTTAAGCTGTAAGTTTTGTTATTTCAGGGGAAAGTCAAAAAGCCAAGCCAGAGGGGCGTGTGTATTTTGCTAGGCTTGTCTTATTCCCCGTGGAGAAGTGAGCAGGTGTGTGTGTGTGTGTGTGTGTGTGTGTGTGAAAAATATGGAATCAAAGGATACCTTCTTTCCAGGGGCTGCAGCTTTAGCTCATTTGGGCAAGATCTCATGGATCAAGTAGGAGAAAAGATTCTGTTATTTTTAAAGACTTCCTTTATTTATTTTTAAGGGAGAGTGAGAGACAGGGCTTCCATTCTGGTTATTCACTACAGTGGGTGCAGTGGCTGGGGCTAGATCAGGTGCTGGTCTCCAGGTGGGGGCAGGGCCCAAGCATCTGGATCATCTTACACTTTCTAGGCATGTGATGGGGCGCTGGATCAGCAGTGGCACAGCCAGGTCTCGAAAGAGCACGCATAGTGGGTACTGGTGTCGCAGCAGGCAGTTTTACCTTTCTCAACACCATGTCAGACCTAAGATGTTGTTTGCAGCAGGCTGCATTTGTGATGCCAAGCATTTGCAAGAGTTTTCTGGGGAAGCCAGCTGCCCTGTATGCCTGGCTATTTGGAGTGACACAGAAGTAAAAGTCTTCCTGTCAGAAGGATGAGGCCTTTGGTCGTGTAGCACTAGCAGAAAAGCACGCAGAAGCCACGTGGTAAAGGGTTGGCTAACCAGGTTATAGCCAGTCCTTCCAGTTCCTCCAGATAAAAACCCTGGGGGCACCCTCCTCTTTTCCTCTCTCCTGCTCTATGTGCTTGCCTTCCAAATATCCTGGAGAATCTTCAAAACACATTCCGAATCTGAACACAGCTCAACACCCGCAATGCCACCACTTAGAGCCAGCCAGCATTGGTGCTAGCTTAAAGGGTCCCTGCACTGATTTGTGTAGGGAGAAGTACCATATGTTATGCATCTGACATTTAGAACCTCCCACAGCCTGGCTCCTGGATCCGCACGGGCTGAAGGTTGCTTCTCCTTTCCTGTGTCCACAGACACTCGGGTCAGGTGCGACAGGACCATCAGCTACTACCTCTAGTACAATATCTCTAGTACAATAAAGCGAGCAATATTGCTGGTAGCCATTCCTACACCAAGAAGGCAAGAAATGGCCATGACGCCCATCAGTATGTCCACTATACTCCAGCTGGATATATCATCCACTCAACTGCTCCTTGGCTGGATTCTCCAACAGGAAGAGAAGTGGGAAGGAGAGCTAAGATGCAAGAAGACAGGACTACAACCAGTGCTAATGTAAGCGTTTCACACAATTGCATGGCCCCAATTCCCCCAGACCCTTCGGGCGTAGAATCTGAAAGCTGCTTCCTTCTCACTCTTGTAATATCAGTTCCTGGCACCTTGTAAGTTGCAACTTGCTCCCCTCCTCCAAACTCCCCAGTGTTCTTATTTGTATTTCTTGCTTGTTCCGCACCACCACCCTTTAGCGAAGGTGGAGGTCTGCCTGGAAGCTTCAGGCAGGCAAAGAGCCATACAGTCCTACTGATGTTCTTCAAATGGGCGGGAAGGAGCCAAGTACATAGTCCTGCGTCATAAAGATGTGTGGCTAAATGGATTAAATATGTGTCACATGAAGAAGTGAGCGAAAGACACAGTTACTCTAGGGTCAGAACTGTGGTCATCCACGACTCAACGTTTAATGCTTTAAATCCAAACTCCACCTCTTAACCCTTCTGGAGCCTCTGCTTCCTTATGTGTAAAACTGAATGGCTACCTATTCACCTACTTATTAAACAGTTGCAACATAACTACGGTCAAGACTACGGTGCAAAAGACTTCCTTTAAGTCTACCATTTTTTCCCCCATAGCGCTCGCCTCTTCAAAGCCCCGCCCACACGCACGCCCATCTTTAGACCCCGCCCCTTGCAGAGAAGCCCCGCCCCCCTTGCAGCAGTCATCCAATGGCCAAAATACACGGTTGGGCGATTCCTAAGGGAGCTTTAGTTGTCCTCCTGACGCCTGACCAGTCTCCTAAGGGCCTCAGTTTCCCAAGAACAGTCACTTTCCCAAGTTAGCTTTGAGACACGCAGTCTCACCCGCCGCCCCAAAATCCTTCCCCAGAGTCGGAAAGGACTCCGCAGCCCGATGACTGCCCTCCCTGGGAGCCCCGGGTCTTCACTGGCCGAGTCTCTCAGCCAGCAGCATGCTGGAAGCGGTAGTTTTCTTCTTCCCAGTTCCTCCCAGACCCGCCGCTGGCCTGCCCTCGCAGGACTACGATTCCCAGACGCCCGAGCGCGCCGCCGATCACGTGGGCCGCAAGGCCGCGGGACTGGTGGGCGGGACCGTGCCGGTGCTCCGCAGCTGTCAGAGCCTCCTGGAGCCGGCGGGCCGCCTCGGCCCCGAGAGACCCCGCCATGGTCCGCGCGGGCGGCGTGGCGGCTCACCTGCCGACGTCCGGCTTGGACATCTTCGGGGACCTGCGGAAGATGAACAAGCGCCAGGTACCGGGGTCCTGAGTGGGGGGCGCGCCCGGGTGCGGGACCGGCAAGTCGCCGTGGTTCCCGGGTAGGGTTCCGGCGAGGGCAGTTCCCGGTGACTGTGGCCCCCGCGCTGGGCTCCAGCAGGCCCTGGGTTCGGGTCCTGCCTGACGCACGTGGGGGCATGTGCTTGTGCTCGCTTGCATCCACCAGAGCCCAAGGAGGAGGAGAGCTGAGCCGAGCGTGACAGCTGTCTACGCGAATTTGGAGGGGCCTCGGTGAAGAGGGATCAGGTTCCTGCTCCCTCGCCCCGACCTCCACGGGGCTGCAGGAGGCCTGGCTGCTCGCGGATGGAAGGAGCAGAGACGCAGGTGCAGGGGAGCAATTTGGTGCCAATATGAGCTGTCCACTGATGCCTTCCTCAGCCCTCGCGCTTTCCGAAGCCTGGAGGGCCCACCAGCCCGTGCTCAGCATCCAGGACCCAGGGAGCCCAGGGCTCCCTGCATGGAGCATGCATGGAGCTCTCTGCATCCCGGCTGCATGGAACATCCAGGAAGGAGAGAGCCAAGATCGACTCCTCCCCTGCCCGTGGCTTCTCTCTGGCCCTCTCCTTACCCAGTAACAGCCCACTGTGATTAACTTCTGTTATCTCCTCAATATAAAGCAAGAGTAGGGACGGGGAAAGCACAGTCTTGGGCAGGAAAAAAAATCTGATTCCTTGGGCTTGTAGAGAGAGAAGTGTGTCTGTGGGGTGCCAGTAGCATAGTAGGTACTGAAGCCGCTGTTATGGACAGAAACAAATTTTGGCTAAGAAGAATGAGCCCTTATTATCATGGTCCTTTGTGTTTGAAATTGCTATTGATTCTCTCAGGTTTGATGGCACCCAGTTTCTTTTGTTCTGTTCTCTTGGGGGTGTGGGCTGATGCCAGCCGCAGGACACAACTCAGTCTTTGGGCATGCGTCTATATGTCTTCTGTTCCCGGTGGCACTCCAGCCTGGCATGGTGGTATGAGCGAGGTGGGTGACTTAAGGGCCCCCACAAGTTTCTCAGGTTATGGTGGTCAGAGAACATCACTCTGAGAATCCTGTAGCGGAGGTCCTGAGAAGTGAGGTGCTTCCCAAGAAAACTCCCTGGAAACTAGAGCTTTCTTGAACCGTCGAGGCCTCCTGAGTGGCTTCTGCACACAGCTCTGCAATTGCTGCTGCTGACGTGGGGTTAAGTTAGGAGTGCAGAGTGTCAGGGGAGGCTTGCTGCTGAGTGCCGAGCGCCTAAGCCAGGCTGTTTGAAAGACTTGTGTGTTCCCCGTCTTGGTAGCCAGCCACACTGCCCGCTTGACTCTTCTAGTGAAAACCCAGCAGCTCAAGTCTACAGCCTCCTGGCACCATTTGATCTTTTCTTCTTGCCTCCAAAATAGCACGTACTGACACCTTGACAGTCTCTTGTGCTCCACCACTCCCATACCAAGACTTCCTTTCTGTGGAGCCTGCTTGCTCGTTTACTCCTAGTTGAGGCCAGAGCAACACAAGCCAGACAAGGGCTCTTTGTTTCTGCTACGAGCCAGGGAGGAGGAAACACCAGTGACTGGCATTTCAGCTGCCCCGTCAGCTGCATTATCAGGTCAGAAATGTTTTCTTGCCATCCTGAGCCACCCTGGCGATTTTGTCTTTAGCTGACAGTGACTGAGCTGGACCTGCCTCTGCTGCCCTGGGGTTAGAAAGTGCTGAGTGTACCTAGGTACTAGGCAAAAAATGTACAGCAACCAAATGAATGGCAGGCTCTGTGAAGTGTTCAGCTTTCAGTAGTTCAAGCAAAATCATGTAGCCATGATTGCAAGCCTATGTCCAGGTTTGTAGATCCCGGAAAGGAAAGAGGTTGGGGAGCAGGTGCTTGGCACAGTGCTAAGATGCTCTGTTCCATATTGAAGTGCTCAGGTTAAAGTCCTGGTTGTGCTTCCCGTTCCAGCTCCCTGCTAATGTAGACCCTGGGAGGCAAGTAGGTAATGGCTCCAGTCCTTGGGCCCTCCTCCCCATGCTGAAAATGGGGATTGAGTTCCAGTTCCAGGTTCCTGACCTTAGCTCTGCGGGCATTTGGGGAGTGAACCAGCAGTCACAAGATCTCTGTCTCTGCCTTTGAAATCAGTGTTTTTGTTTTTAAGGGGGTGTTGGAAGTGTGACTGGGGTTTTACAGTTTGATTGACCAGCTGATTTTGGTATATTTGGCCATTTCCTTCCTAGATAGATATCTTGCACAAATGAAGTTCTTTTGAGGAATGTATTTTACTTCCCCTCAATGAATTTTTCAGGCATGGAAAACATCTTGAAAAAGATATTCTTAGTATGAGGTCTTTATTTGAAAAATGGCAAGGTTTTATAATTTTCTGTTATTAGAGCAGAGGCATATGCCTTGCAAACCTGTCTAATAATGGTAGTCTTTGTTGGCACTTTCCTGATCAGCTCTGTAATTCAAAATGGAACAACAGTTATCTTTCAAATCGTTCAAGTCAGGCAGAACAGGTGCTGTGTGAAAGTCAACTACAGTGAACAACTTCTGCTTTCCGCCGGGAGGACCCGGAAGACTGGTGTGGTATAGGCCAGCCTGCTTTGGGATGCGGTATAGCCCAGCCCTCTCACCATTTCCACTAAGCATTCCCCTTTCTTTTGGGACTATGATGAATATTTCATAAATTGCTATCAACACAGTAACCAACTGGTTTAAAAAATAATATGTGACTTCAATATTGAATTACATTTATTTTTGTTTTCATTTGCTGTACTCACATACATTTGGTTCACTTTTAATGTCCTACTCTCAGTGTGTCCTTCATAACTGCCTGACACTGGGTGTTTTCACCTGGTTGTCACATTAGCAGGGCAGCTCTCTGCTCTGCTTTCCCTCCCTGCCACCATGCCAGAATGTATGTGTTCTTGGGTGTGTCAGAGTCTGTGCAATGGTTATGTGAATGGCTGTGTGGTAATGTGCCCTATTTCACTTCCATTAAATGCTTCCTTTCTCCAAATTTTGGAATTAGTCCATGCTCATGAGTAGAATTTGAAAGAGTATAGAATAGTTTTAGGAAGCAAATTCAATGACTCATAATTCCACCATCCCAAGATTGCTGCTGTTAGCGTCGTGGGGCATCTCCTTGTATTCGTTTTGTAGCTTTTTGAGATCCTACCACAGCTCACATTTTCCACTCAACATATTTCAAGTATTTGCTCTTGTTGCTCAAGTTCTTTCGCTTGTCTTAAGTGGTGGAGTAATTGGCCATTTTCTATGCTCCTATTCAGACATTTCCCCAGCACTAGCCACTTATTTCCATTTCCCTGTTATTAATACCTGTGGTTCAGATCCCCCATCTGCCTCTATTTTAGACTGAATTCCTTGAAGTAGGGTTATGGAACCAAGAGGAACCTCCTGATACTGATGCCAAATTGTTTTCATAATGATTCTATTAACCTGTACCCCAGCCCACCATGTACCTTTGAGGATTAGCATGAACAAGTGAGACCTCAGATCTGTTGGTTGAAGAGAAGGATGGGAGGGAGAAGGTAGGAACCACCAGCCTGAACATTTTAAATGTTACCTATACTTTCTCTTTGGGAAATTATAGTTTTAAGCTTTTGCCTCTTGGGAGGGGCGGGGGCTTAATGTTTTTCTTACTGACAGCTTATTTTCTCTCACCATGTAGTAAAGCTGTTTATCATCATTTATTTGACTCATTGAAACCCTGCCTTTGGCCAGACCTGCTGGGGGATCTGATATTTGCCTTGAAGCTTATGGTCTGGTGTGAAAGGCATCTTAAATAATCATATACCATGTTCTGATGGCAGTGCTGCCGTAAGGAGGGGCAGGGTGCAGTCAGTACATAGAATGGGAGGACAAAGGCTGGCCCCCCATGCAGGCTGCCAAGCTCCAGTGTGCTGCCTGTGGTTATGAAGAATATTTCAGCTTATTTGTTCTTTTATGTGTTGTTCGTAGCTGCTCTCCCACCATACAGGAACAACATTCATGGGTTCAATATATGTACTGTATGTTTTGTGAAATTAAAACAACTCCCCACCCGGTTCTTTCTACAGCAACTTTGCTGACACATAGGCTGGCAAGTCAAGAAAAGCTTCCCTTGGGCATGGAGTCCAAAATGATGCTGAAAGATGCCTGAGTGGTCGGCGTGCTAAGGGCTGCACATGGGGAGGCCTTTGGGCAGAAGCAGCGGCGGAGGGTGGAGGGTCCTGGAGCGGAATGGAGTGGATGCTGCTGGAGGCACTGACAGACACTTGTGCAGCAGGCATGGCCAGTCCCACCTGCCAGAGCAGGGGAGCAGGAGGCACGGCTAAGACAGGGCTCAGGGGCCATGGTCAGGGTGTCTGTTCAGCCTTAGGGCAGTGGGGTGCAGAGGGCTGTAAGTGGAGTGCAGACAGGAGCAGATGCGTGTATGCAAACAAGGACTGGAAGAGGATACCCAGAGGAGGCTCGTGTAGGTGCTAGATGGGTTGTGTTAGTGAGTGAGAGTCCTGGCGGTGGGAATAGTGAGAATCAAGAGATTCTAGCAGTATCCCAAAGGTAGCATGTACAGAACAGAGAGGAAGAGCGTGGCCCCATACAGCTGGGTGAGTGGAATTGGCATCACTGAGTTAGGCACCACCAGCTTTGAAAGCTGCTTGCAGAAAATGAATTCAGCTTTGACACATTGTTTGAGTGTCTTTTAAAGACGTCCATGTGGCAATGTCCACAGGCATTTGGAGACATCAGCATTGGGAGCAGTTGGCATGATGAGGGTGGTGGTGCCAGCACTGGCTGGGTTGGGTGAAGGGGGAGGATCTGGCAGGAGAGCAACACAGAAGGTACTCGGAGAGTGGGTTCTGACATTTGTGCCTGAGTGGAAGCCTGTGGCTGTGTAGGAGCGGAGAGAGGAGGGGAAGTGCCTATGAGAGCCCCAGGAGGGCAGCGAGCTAGCCCGGCCACATGGGCAGGACTGAGCCTGGTGGCAGGAGCAGGGACGGGACAACCATGCAGCTTCCCTGGGATGCTGTGGAGACACGGTCATGGACCCTTCCTGCCCCGTGAGCCAGTGCATCTATGCTGTAGCCCAGGCTGACCATGTTCTAGCCATTTTCCAGAGGATTATGCCGTGAAGCCAGGGTTGAGAACAGTGGTACAGGGCAGTGTTTCCATGGCTGTGGCCCCAGACCTGCCGCAGTGGCATCCCCCGGGGATGGGTTTGAAATGCAGTTGTTGCAGTGCACACTGACCTCTCAGAGCCCTGCACGGGCCTCTACTCGCTCCCAGGCCAAAGCCCTATGAAGCCATGGTGGTACACATCCTGGTTAGGCCTGTCTAGAGCTGCACTTCTCCAGGTCTCATGTATTTGAGGCACTGTTTCTTGCTGTAGTTCAAACTGGGTTCAGATCTGCATCTCAAAGTGTATCTAGCCCTGAGAAAAGTCCACACTCCCATCCATCTCCGTTATAATTAAGTTGGGGTATTTCAGGAGAGTAGTGCAGGTCAGAGTCGTGTGATCTGGATCCAGTTTCCAGATTCACTCCAAAGGGTGTTCGGGAAAGCTGCTAGGGCAGGCTGGGAGGAAGTGCAGACAGAATTTTCCTTCCTCTGAAGTGTCCCCATGGCTGCCGCAACAAGAGTTTTAAGGGTCATCAGTTATCCTGGGTTCAGAAGTCTCAGAACGGAAACAAGGTTAGCCCAATCTTGGACACTGCTGCAAGAATGGTGACTGATGGAGCCTTGAGAAAGCCAGACTCCCAGGTGGCAATGGGTGAAGCTAAGGACCAACTGCACTGTACCCCAGAGCAACAGGGGGGCTGTAACACTGGGGCTGTAATAAAGTGAGACCCATGGGTTATTATGGAAACAAAAAATATTGGAAGTTTTACTCTGTGGATAACTTGGAAGGCACTGGAAAGCTTCCCTGGATAAATGTTGACATTCCACCCACATTTGTACCTGGTGTGACTTATTCCCATGCCCTGAAACGGCATGCTGCTTGTGTCTTACAAGCACATCTTCCTCTTGGCTTGATGACTGTTCTGCCTTGTTTGTTCACTTGGGATCTGACCTTTGTCGTTGCAGCTCTATTATCAGGTCTTAAACTTCGCCATGATCGTATCTTCGGCACTCATGATCTGGAAAGGTTTGATTGTCCTTACCGGCAGCGAGAGCCCCATCGTGGTGGTGCTGAGGTAGGTCCGGCAGTTGGCCCTGCCCCGTTCTTGTGCTCCGTCAGCCCTGACTGTGGAGCAGGGCGGCCAGGAGCGAGAACCTGTGAAGACTCGGGATTTCAGTTGGATAAACTGTTACATTCTCCTTTCCCTGTGGAACTTTACTCATACTAAGGCTAATGCATTTAATCCTCTTTAAATGACAACCTAACAATATGGCATTCATATATTATTTGTATACAGCTTAATCGCTAAATGTAATTTATTTAGAAATTAGTTACTTGGTTTTCTTTGTACAATTGTGCTGGGAGTGTGTCTAATAGTTTTTGAGCCGTAATCCTGCTGTGGATGGCCACTATCATCTTGAGACTTTAGTCAAGAGTGCATTTTATTTTACAGAGTGAATATTGTAGCTAGCTTTGTACAAACAGAAATTCATCCAAGGAGAAAGGCTTAACAGTCCATTTGAAGCCAAATGGCCATGTTTGAGGAAAGCCAGCAGGTGCTTCAAGATGTTCTCTGTCCACTGTGTCACAGGCCATTGACTGTAACAATTGGAGGGGCTGCAATCCTGTGTCATTACAGGTGGAGAGGAAGGCTGTCACAGACTTCCTGCGGAGGAGCCTGGGCCAGAATGCAGGCTGCCCTTCCTTCCCTGAGCCTGCTGCCATGTCGTGGCCCTGGCCATGGCACACACTTGCCCAGGCCATCCTGTGGGAGTGGCCACAGGGCACACTTGCAGAGAGAATGGGAGCTTTCCCAAGTGCACAAGCCCGAGGCTAGCACAGCTCTCAGCAGAACCAAAGGGTTTGCAATTGGCCAGTGTTCACACTGTACACCAGGACCCATCGAGCTGGGACCGAGTTAATGGTCTCTGGACACCTTAGCCTTGTTCAGTCATGTATGTTTTATGTGGTTCTCTGTGTACTTTCATTTGAAGGCAAACCCTGCTATCAGGCACTTAGTAGCCCTGCATTTCTCCTCCTGATATCCAGAGTCTGCAGGGAAGTTTCCAGAGCGTCAGAGCTGGGTGGGAAAGGAGAGGCCAGCTTCCAAAGCCGCTCCCATGGTGAACCACATTTTCCTTTCAAGCATTACATGGCTTTAGCCACCTGGCGCTCTCTCTTCCCTTCTCCCCAGTTGACAGATCTTGTTCATTCATTCCAGGTCATACAACTCCTATTAGAGCCACTTCTGTAAGTCTTATTCTCTTGCATTAAGACAAAACATGAGCATATTCAAGAAAATCTTTTTGAGACTTCAGTGTTCGGTAGATTGCAGCTGACTTTGAATTCACCGAAGACCGTTGGCTTGGGTTTAAACTGACATCATGTGGGGATTATTTATCATCTTCCACATCGAAATCAGTTGCTGGTTGTTGGACTTCTGTAGAATGAGTCCAAGGATGCTGCTGCAGGGGCCATACACCAGGGTTCCCGTCTGCCCCAGCCCTGAGCGTGGCTGCGGGGCAGGTCCTGCTCCCCAGGTGGAGTCATTGGCTTCCCACGCCCTGAACCAGCACCTCGGCATCCCGGATGCTGAGCATCTGCTGCGGAGCCAAGGGTTGTCCGTAAGGAGAGCCCAGCTGCTGGAGCCTGCAGTTGCCAATGATTGGAGTCACGTGGCCATAGTGATAAAAGTGACAACTTTTACTTCACAGTCTACTTTATTCTTGGTTCTTTTTGTGCCTGGTACAGGCTGCAGATGGGTTTGCTGGTGCTTTTTTCATACGTAGAGCCAAGGAGAAAGTATTGTTATCACAGGAGCCATTGGGAGGAAACCTCCGTGGCTGCGTTGTAGTTCCCAGGGCCTCCTTGCCCATTGATGAGCATTTCTGCTGACTGCTGTGTTTCTTTTTATCACCTGCTGGGTACCCAGGACCTCACTGATGTTGACTTTGTGTTTCTTTCTAGTGGCAGCATGGAGCCAGCCTTCCACAGGGGAGACCTCCTGTTCCTCACAAATTTCCGGGAAGACCCAATCAGAGCTGGTGAAATTGTTGTTTTTAAAGTTGAAGGACGAGACATTCCAATAGTTCACAGAGTAATCAAAGTCCACGAAAAGTAAAGAGGTTTTTCTTCTTTCTGGGTTTGTTTCATACATTTTTGGTAGTTTTAAAGCTTCACTACAAAGTGGTAATGTACTAGATTACATTCTGTTTACAAACCAGATGTCTTTAGGCCAGAGACTCATTGTATAAGGTGGGAGTGATGATATTGTATGCAGACTATATAACCAAACGAATTAGTGTTATGTTTAAAAAGTTAGATTATGGCACAAATGCAACACGGGATATTTTCTAACATTTTTTACTAAAAGGAGACTGAAAATCAAATCACGTTGTAAGAGACCATGATTTTGATAGGAGAATTATTTTCTGAAATACAAAAAAATTTCAGCTGCTTCCGTGTGCCATTTTGGCCAGAGGAACCTGATGAACGGTAAGGTCAAGCCAAGCTGGATAACAGCTCCTTCCCCAGCTGATTCCTCAGTGTGGCTGTTGAACTACCTGCACTGATCCGGCCCCTGACAGCCTTGCCCTTTTATTAAATGCCTTTGCTGACTTGTTCATACTGTCATTTGGAACCAGAAACCTTAACTTCTGGTTCTCATGTGTACAAGACTGCCAAAAGAGTACTTAAGTGTCAAGTGTGAAATACTTGTCTGTTTGCTTGTATAGAGCTTAGGGTAGTATTTCTACCTCTGTGAGTTAGGGCACTGAATTTAGGTACTTATTTATGTTTGGTAAGTAACGCAGCATTGTGTACTGTGAGGGTGTGTGACAGACATGTAACTATTTGAACATTTCCAGTGTTAGATTCCTACTGTGCTTATTATTTCTAGCAGTTCCCCAAAGATACTGACACTCAAAATGCCCACCTCACTTTGTTCTGAACACCAGAGCAGTCCAGTTTGGGTTGGTGTTGATATGCGGGTACCGTGCCAGTGGTTACCCAACATCTGCTTATAAGGGAGAAGTGTGCTCAGTCCTGATATGACAGTACTCTCACCCAGATTTAAAGTGATTGGCAAGAAAGGCATACTGCTCCCAGTCGAGGCAGTGTTGGGGATGTGCTGTGATTGGCATGCATTCTGAGAGCAGGGTCGTCACCCGCTTGCTTCGCTCTCTAACTGTGGCTGCAGATCAGGCACTCTCTTTGATGCCAGCATGCTCGTAGGTTCTTCATATTTTAACTCATCCTAATGGTCTACTTTTTTCTTCTTACTGAAAGACATGCTTTGTAGTCCCTAACGCTGCACTGTTGTTCTCTGCGTGTCCAGACTATCTGAACATCAGTTCAGCATACTTCAAATGAATCCTGTGTCTCCTTACCACATTGCTTCATATCATTGGTGATTTTTGCTTCCCTGTAAATGAGATTTTACACCATTTTTCTCAATAACGAGGAAAATAATGTATTACCTAATTCTGTGATTCACACGGAAAAGGAAGTCTGAGGACAGCCAAGGGCAGAGTTGGGTTAAAATTCCCTGGTTCCCAGTCTGTGATCAGGGACCAAGTTCACACCTGGAGCAAGGAGGAGTAGAATCCGTGTGCACAAATTGGTCTGTGAGGACTAAGACAGGATGGGGCGGGCCAAGTGCAACACAGACCATGAAGCGAGTGTTGTGGCTTGATCCCTGGCCTGCTCTGCCCTCCTCTGACTTGGGGTGAGTGACTAAGTAAGCCCGGGAAAGCTCGTTAACCATTGTATCATGGTGGTGTATTATGAAGCTGCCGCTGAGAGAATTTCACAGTGGTTAATTCACAGAATTTTGCCCTGGAAAAATGACTCTGAAGCTCTTATTATCTTCCAGTTAAAAAGACTGAGCCAAGTGCTAGCTTTTTCTGAATTTCAAGAGGGCACCAGTTGAATAGTTGCTGGATGCCACTGGCTGTGGCCACTGTCTTGCTGATGTCCTTTTTGCTTGCCCCTGCTGCTTTGGTTGCCAGGCTTACTTGAATATCTTAAAGTAATACTTTAAGTCTATGAAACTGTTACTGAATCTGTGTTTCAGTGAAACGGTTATCTAAGTGATTGTTTTTGACCAAAGGAAGGTGAGGTTGTCTTTGCTTTGCTAAATGCTTAAGTCTGGCTATAAAGGTTTTTGTTGTTGTTGTGTGTTTGTTTTAGAGCTGCTGTTCTGAAAGTAGCTTTTGAAAGGACATTATTTTTCTTTCCAGAGATAATGGAGACATCAAATTTCTGACAAAAGGAGATAATAATGAAGTTGACGACAGAGGACTGTACAAAGAAGGCCAGAACTGGCTGGAAAAGAAAGATGTGGTGGGAAGAGCCAGAGGGTGAGGAGGTGTTCAAAAACCAGGAGCGCATGCACAGGCCAGGGCGCTGGCTTCACAGGGGAGCAGAGCCACTAAGGACAAATGTGACCCATCAGGAAAGTTCCAGACACTTCTGGTCTGTACTGTGAAGACTAAGTGAAACTTAAAGTCTAAAAGATGGCGCCTTGGGGCCAGCTGATCACACGGAGATGTTGGTTTGCCAGCACAATCTTGGTTGGCTTATGTTTTCCGTCTTTGGGAACATCAGTCACATTTGTATTCTCTGCCCAATTAGCTGCTTTGTTAGATCTTAAGGCACAGTGAAATGAAAATAATGCTGACCCAGGCATTTGGACTAGCAATTAGAGAGTCTGCATTCCGTATGAGAGAGCCCAGGTTTGGTCCCTGCCTTGGGCTTCTGGCTCCAGCTCCCTCTGCATGGACTTTATACCTCCCTGTCTCTGAAATAATCTTGAAGAAAATGATGATTTTTTAAAAAAAGTTATTTATTTGAGAGGCAAAGTTGCAGGGTTCGGGGGGCAGGGAAGAGGCAGAGGAAGGGGTCTTGTATCTGCTGATTTACTCCCCAAATAGCTACAATAGTCAGGGGTGGGCCAGGCTGAAGCCAGGAGCATCTCCCAGGTCTCCCACATGGGTGTAGGGGCCCAAACCTGTGGGCCGTCTTCCTCTGCTGTGCCAGGCGCATTAGCAGGGAGCTGAATCAACTGTAGCGGCTGGGACTCAAACTGTGTCACAGCACCAGTCCCAGTGACAATGTCTTTCTAAAAATTATAAACTTCATGTTTTAAAAGCTTCATTTAATAGAAGCTTCATATAATAGTCCTTTTTATATAAGCAATCTGAACCTTATTGCTCTCCTAAAAAAATAAGAACTGTTTTTGTGCAGAGTTGCCTGTTCTGTTTGTACAAGTGGCTCAGCTATTTCTTTAAAGCTGTGGCAAGTGAAGATAACACACCTTGTAGACTCAAATCCCACGTGTCTTTAAAGTGACTGTCCTGTCTGTTGGCTCTGATGACTTTCATTAGAGATGGGGTGAATATTCTCCTGACAACCCCTGCGATGTTCAGATAGTTCAAATGTTGTTGCCATCATATAAACAACTTGATTTTTATCCCACAATTTAGGTTTTTGCCGTATGTTGGCATGGTCACCATCATAATGAACGACTACCCCAAATTCAAGGTAGGGATGTGTGTTTGTGTTTAAAATGTACATAATCACTTTGTTTAAAATGGCTACTGTGACCTTTCACATCCAGTGAGATCTGAAATGGCATCTGTATAGTTGTAGCTTTTTATTGCGGACATTTTTAGACATGAAAATGGTGGTGACGATAAGCCCAGGAATGCTTATTTCCCACCTTCAACAAAGTTCGGGTTTTTATTTTTTGAAAAACAATAGGAAGTTATACAAAAATAAGCTGCGCACTCTGTGTGTGTCACATGTCAGTGTACTCTCAGATTTGTAGCCATTACAAGGCATTGCGCTGCTGGTTTGGAGAACAAGGCCTGTGCGGGTAGGGTGTCGTCTTGTGATTCCCTCGGTCCAGCGCTAAACAGACATCCCTGGAAGCATCCGCAGACTGATCCATCTGCTGGCCTCACACTTCTTGCTCGTGTCTCCACAGTATGCTCTGTTGGCCGTGATGGGCGCGTACGTGTTGCTAAGACGTGAGTCCTAGGATGGGAAGCAGTTCCTGGATCTGACGGACATGGACTGTGTTGAAGAAGAGAAAAGCTAATATATTGGAAATGTTCCTGTGTAAAAGGAAACCACGTGGAGACGTTTCTTGTCTTGGCTAAATAAATGATTCATCAGTAAAGATGTTTTCCTTTTGTGGACTCTTGTCTGAATTGGCTCAGTCTCTCGACCACCCCTGGCCGTCTCCTCAGTGACTGTGCCTCCCCGGTACCTCCACACACCTGCTGGGGTCTGGCCTACCTCTGGGGGCTTGCATAGTTTACATGACATGGTCGTGACATCTGATTTTCAAAACCAAAACTCTTTATACAAAGGCATTTCTGGGAGTGGTTGGTAGGGAGCACACAGGCCCTGCCAAGGAAAAAGCTGCTTATTTCATGAAAGCTCGATGTGACCTGTTAATAAAGCCAAAAACATCACAGAAGGAAGGGATGCAATCTGCTTTGTTTCTGTTCTATGTCTTAAGATGATCTGCTAAATTATTTGGAAAGCATTGAAATCTCTGAGGGAAAAAAAAAAATCCAAAAATATGACAGACATCTGGTGCAGATGTCTAGTGGCCACTTGGGATACACGTCCTGTGTCGGAGTGCCTGGTTCACTTCCTGTGTGGCTTCCTACACAGGTGACCCCGGGAAGCAATAGTGTTGGCTGAAGTAGCTGGTATGTCCACTGTTAAGTTTTTGTGTAACACAGTCCTGCACTCCTGTCCCTCATTCAGCTGTCTACCAAGCACTGCTGTCCCAGGCGCTGCATATTATGTAAAAGCCCAGCCTAGAAGGAGCGCACCAAGTAATGGGAGGGAACAGCGATGAGCAAATCTGATTTGAGACAGTGATGACTGCTGTGAAGCAAGGCAGAGTCAGTGGCCAGGGGGTGACACAAGTTACCGCTTTTCAGGCGGGACACATGGACGACTCCTGAAAAGGAGACTTGGAGCAGAGGTAGGAGAAACAAGAGCGAAAGTGGGCTGGCCGTGCCAGGGAAGAACCTTCCAGCAAGCACTGAGAAGGAGCTGCTGTCTGGAAGGCCAGGGCAGCTCCATCCCAGCTTGCAGGGGCCTGCAGAGCCCCCTGGCTACTGGGAAGCACAGATCCTGCCTGTGGAGGGCCAGGGCAGGGCCTGAGACACTGTATTCCCACCCTCCTCCTGAGGGATGCCCATGCTGCGGAGGGGGGGCCCGGGCCACGCTACCTAGCCACGCGTTGGAGGCCCAGACAGACCAGAGAGGTTTAACATCCGTGTTGGGTTTTACTAACAGGACTTCTCTTGTTGACATCCTGCCAGTTGGAAGAGCTACGCATTGACCCCACTGCTGTGAATTTGTCCCACTTGGATCTAATGACGCAGAATCTCTAAAAGTCACTTAACCACCCACAGGGCTCAGTAAGTTCCCTGGCTTCCCTGAGCCTCATGTTGCAAGGCGAGAACCAAGCTTACCAAGGGCAGCAGTCACTAGAAAGAAGTGGGTATTTCTCAGCGCGCTGCTTGACACATATGCAGTTTGCCCTGGGCAAGTGCCACCCACTCTTAACATCCTTTTCTGCAGCAACCTGTGTCCCTGCCACACACCTGTGAGCTCCTGACTTAGGACCAGCAGGGGTGCTCCCTTGGGGCCCCCTAATGCTTTCTCTGGACTGAAATTGGCTGTAAATGGGTCTCATGCTGATGAAAATCAGCACAGTAAAAGGAGAAAATATTTATAGACATCTTTCTAAAACATTGTTCTCTTGTGCCCTTTAACAAACCATTTTCTTAAGGAAGCAGATTTTTTGGGCCCTGCGCAATGGTGCAGTGGTTAAGGTCCTTGCTTTGCACGCCCGGGATCCCATATGGGTGCTGGTTCTAATCCCGGCAGCCCCGCTTCCCTTCCAGCTCCCTGCCTGTGGCCCAGGAAAGCAGTCGAGGATGGCCCAAAGCTTTGGGAACCTGCACCCGCGTGGGAGACCCAGAAGAGGCTCCTGGCTTCGGACTGGCATAGCATTGGCCGTTGCAATCACTTGGGGAGTGAATCATCGGACTGAAGATCTTCCTCTCTGTCTCTCCTCTCTGAATATCCGCCTTTCCAATAAAAATAAAATAAATCTTTAAAAAAAAATAGAAACATAAAGCAGATTTTTATTTTTCCTCCTTTACCTAAAAATGGAATTTTGAATGTTGGGTCAAAACTTGATTCCTTTCTCATCTTCCTGGGCTTCTGTAATTGGCTAACAAGTTAGAGAAAAGCTCTTAGTGTGGTGGCAGGAGTTCAGCCAGGCGGTTAAGAGACCCACGTCTCACATCAGTTTCCAGGTCTGATGCCTGTCCCCTGATGTGGCTTCCTGCTAATGCGGTTGCTGGGAGGCAGCAGTGACGGCTCAAGTGAACAGGGTCCATTCACCCAGCTGGGAGACCGGGGCTGAGTTTCTGGCCTCCAGCTTGGGCCTGATCCTGCCCTGGCCATTGTGGGGAGTGAGCCAGCAGATATATGCAAGCTCTTTGCATCCACTGCTCTGCCTCCAAAATAAATAATTTACCATTTAAGTTGTATTTTTTTAAGCTAAGTTTTTTTTTAAGGGGGTATTCTCTAAACAATCTTCACATTCTGAAATGAGCTGTACATAGACACCATTAGGCCTTAAGGTGTTCAGCCAGTCCCACCTGGCTAGCGGCTCGTGAAATCTCTTGACCTCTTTGCTACTGCTGCTCCTTATGGGAGGGCAATGATGGGAGCTGCTGCTGGACTCTGGTTCCCTTGCCTGGGCTCTGAGCTGCAGCCTCAGTATCTAGAATCTGTAGCTCAGAACCAGGACCGTGTCTGAGCAGGCTGATCCGTGTTGCCCTCTCCCAGCTGTTTGCGGTGGGTTTGCCAGGGGTGCCCTCCTTCTGGGAGCACTTGGATGCTCACCTGACACAGATTTCTAAGGGTCAGGCTGTGGATTTTCTACCTTTCAGCAGCTCAGTGTCAAGTAGAGGAGTTCTGGCCAGGGGTGGGGGTTGGGGAGGGAACCAGCCAAATATGCCATGCTCCTTGAGCAGGGAGACGATGAAGTACAAAAACTCCAAGGATTGCAGGGCATCAGAACAGTCCACGAAGAACTCACCATGTCGCATGAAGATGCTTATGAAGAAGTTACATGGTGTTTGCTACACTGTATTTAATACCAACTTATATTTCCATCAAAACGAGACAGTTGCTACCATGGAGTAAGCTTCAGTGTTTTCAGGAGGTTACCCTAGCTCTGCCCTTTCCTCCTTTCCCCCTTTCGACCATGTGTTAATTTTTATGCAAGTGCTGGACGACTCCAGGTCCAGGAGGTACACCTGCACATACCAACACACTGCAGACACTACCCTTCCATTAAAATGCTGAACCTGTTACTCTCAGCAAAGTTAAAGCAAAGGAATATTGCTGTGAAGAGCAGAACGTCTGACCTTTCTAAGTAAACAAGGAATGAGAATTGAAATGAGTGGAAGCAAGCTGGGCATCCGTTTGGGCTTTTAGAAAAACTCTCAAGGTGACTAATGTGCAGTCAGACTCAGGAGCCACTGAAACAGACATCTGCGTAAATTAGTTGGGAATGAATGTGATTAGAGTGATGGATGTTCATACCTTCTCTCTCATTTTTATGACATCATTTTCAGACTGCTTGATAGGAAAAATCCAGAAGCTCTTACCATCATTTCAGACCCAAGCTGATGCTAGTCTCCTTACTGGGTCATCTGGCTTCTATTTGAGAACCTCATCTTACAAAGGCGCCTTTGGCCCATGGCACCAAACCATCAGCTTAGTCTGAATTGTTGAACGAGAGCTCTCATTGGCCATTCTCTGGGTTCAGCAAGTTCCCTGTACTTCAAATGAACCCCATGGAGGTGAGGCAGACGGAGGGATTTGGGGTCACACTATGGTTTGAGGCCTGCCTCAGTACTCAGCTCAGCCTTGGTTTCCTCCAGCATCAGGACAGGTTGGGACTTTATTGGATGCCTGGCTTTCGTCAGAGCTTTTTCTATTTGTTCTTCAAGATAGCTCAAGTTTGAATACTGAGAATTAATTAAGGTGTCTCAACCCTCTTGAACATTCTTCCCTGTCGTCTTGGCCATGAAACTCTCCCTGTGTTTCCTGTGAAAGTTAAATTTGTCTGCACTGTTGCACACAGATCCTAGGACAGAGAGGCTGTTCCTGGAGAGCCTACTTTGAATCCCTTTAAGCTGTGGGATGAGGTAGGAGAGCAGAGGCCCCTTTTCACGGCCTTCTTCCTCTCTACTGGCTCTGGGCTGGCAGGGGCCTGACTTCTTCCTCCACCTGCTCCCTGACCTTCCTTGGAGGATGCTCGCTGGGCTCTTCTCCCTACAGTCACCAGACACCATGTGCCTCTTTTCAGCTGGGTGACTCCCAACGGGTTGGGTTGCTCCCTTCAAAAGAAAAACAAGTTGATTTTTTGGTGCATTTCCTGCTTTACACATTGGTGTAGAAACATCTGAGGCGCTTCTTCCCCTAGCACTTTGTTTTTCTGTTTCACTGTGATGTGCCCAGTAGCCTTCATAGCAACCACTAAGCTGCTGTGGATGGATACATTCCCCCTCTGTCTTGGTGATCAGTTTCAATTTTGGATTAAATTGGTGGACTTAAGGCAGTTGACTGACTTTGTCTTCTCACAAAGGGAGAGACAGATTATAACAGAGTCCGTCTGCTATTTGGAGCTCCTACTTGGTGGCACTGCCAGTAGTCAGTGGAAATCCAAAGTAGATTAAACACCCAAAGGGAGTGTAGTGATTCATCCTCAAATTCAACAAATCATCCTTAAGATGGGTGCAAAGTTATGCCTTGTGGTTCTACTTTAGGCATTGCACAAGGGCCAGATGGTTTTTCATTCAATGTGCGAAACAAAATGAAAATCCACTCTACAAGATCTTCTTCTGTTTTTATCATAAAATGTTATGTTTTTCTGTTTTCTGACAGCTCATGGCTGAGTGAATAAACCACTGTGAAACATTTTTTATTATAGTTTTGATAATTATTACATAATTTAAAAAGGTTCAAGGGCTACTGTGAAACGCCTTAAGCCTAAATAAGTGTCCATGAAGAGCTCCTTGAAGCAACTGGGTGAGGGGCTCAGGCCTGACATTGTAACACAGTGGGTGA